AGGTTAAAGGGAAAAGCAGCGATTCTAGATTTGAAGTTTTCGTGACTGCAAGGGTTCATACTCTTAGCGGGTTGTTTTTCGGTAAAATCGCGTCGGTAAAAAAAATAAAAAACATTATAATAAAATAAAAATACATCGACTTATTTTCACGTATTATTATTTTATTTTTCTTATTTAACCTACGTGACTTTACCGAAAAAAACTTAAGAGTAAGAAAAACAATGAGCCTACTTTTACCCTTACCCCATACTAATAATCCGATTACAGGGTAATTACTGGGGTACTACTACACGTGCACAAGGTGTATAGCGGTACATGCTGTAGGTAGAGCGCTTTGTTCATATAGATACTCTCGATGATTCCAATTTTACACGTTGTTGTTGTTGTCGTTGTTGTATCCTCAAATCTTGAAAGTCAATTTTAACCCACTTCCCAATGTGGCATCGACTGCAAACTTGGTATACTTACGTCATACTGATGACAACACTATATTCTACCATTAAAACTAAAAAAATATATATTTTAAAACATTCTTTTGGAAATGTTATGTTTCGGCTTGGGTCGAATTGTCCACGCTCAACTAACGTTGGCTGTAATTGGCCACGGTGAATGCATTTATGATACGTAGCTTGAGCGATTTTATTTACTACTACACACTAATATACACTACACTATACACTACACGCTAAACTATACACTACACTATTACTATACACTACACTATACACTACACTATACGCTACACTATACACTACACACTAATATACACTACACTATACAGTATACACTACACTATGATACGTAGCTTGAGCGATTGTATTTACTACTACACACTAATATACACTACACTACACACTACACTATTACTATACACTACACTATTACTATACACTACGCTATACACTACACTACACACTACACTAAACTCTACACTACACTATTACTATACACTACGCTATACACTACACTATACACTACACTATACACTACACTATACAGTATACACTACACTATGATACGTAGCTTTAGCGATTTCATTTCAATGTTACCATGATACGATACGTTCAATGCATGCTAAAAGTTTATTTTTCTAGCAGATAGGATTGTTTCCTGAACAAACTTCATATTAATTTGCAGTTCATATAGGTAGGCTAAGAATTTACCTTGTTTTTTTTACTTTAAATGTTACTGTGCAATACAGTCTTGTAATTAATAAACACACACAGGATATAGTCTATACAGTACGCTACTGTAACTTGCTCTGTTTTGCTAGATTACCACCACCCTGTAAGACTCCTGGCTAGGCTAGAGGCCATCTTCGACTTACGATATTTTCGACTTACGATGATAGGGTCGTCGTGACACATCTCCATCGTAAATAGAAGTGATATTCAGATCGACATCACATGCCACCCTCCATCTGCACTGCTCCTTCTGCTGCTGCTGCGTGACAATTTATTTTCGTGAAACATTTCTTCCAAAATTTTCCACTTTTTAGGAAAAAAAATTTTCACTAACACAATCGTATATTTTTCCTAAACACAGAAAATTATTCAAGAAAACAACAAAAAAGTACAATATAAACAATCATACAAAAACTGAAAACCTTATAATCCTTATATACGACTTTCCTTATATTTAATTTAAAATACCAATGTGATAAAAATTAAACTCTTACTCACGAAAAACTGAAATGAATAATAAAATAAAACCGATGCCACGCATATAAATGATTTATAGTGAAAAACTTTGTTTTTACGGGTTAATTTTTTACCTTTTACCTGTTACCTTACCTTGCCGAGGCCTACGTGCAGTGAAACCCTGGATTGTGATTAACTTGGTCTCGAGTGTTTTGCAAGATAAGCAATTAAAACAAACATATTGATCAACCAGCGAGGTCTTGCAACAGGAGAAATTTCATTGTTAAAGTCGCACAAACAGATCCCAGTGAGCTCAGCGATGGCAGTGGTTCCGTTAGTGACAGTGAAAGTAGTCCTACACAATCACCATCCTTCTCCTCCACTCATCTCCTCTCTCTCATCTCCACGATTACATTTAATGGATACATTTGATTACTTTATATTACATTTAAATACAAATTTTAAAAAAGGTACAGTATTTTGTAATGTCATCATGGGACCTCCTTTGCCCGTACCAATATATACTAATAGGTTTTTTTCCCCTTTTTTTCTGGCAACAAAACTGACACCTTTTGCAAGGTTAATGTAAGCATGATTCCTTGCAAAAGGTGTCAGTTTTGTTGCCAAAAAAAGGGGAAAAACCTATCAGTATTTGTAACGAATAAATTTTGTATGGATTTTTTTTGGGTTGTGAAACGAATCGTCTTGAGTTTCCATTTTGTCTTATGGGGAAGTTCGCTTTGATATACGAGTGCTTTGGATTACGAGCACGTTTCAGGAACGAATTATGCTCGCAATCCAAGGTTTCACTGTACTAGTAATCCCTCGCCACTTCGCGGTTCAAGTTTCGCGGCCTCAGTGCATCGCGGATTTTTCAAACTGATTTAAAGGCCTCATTATACCTGTGCAGTAACACCATCATCATCATCATTCATCATCACATTCATCGAACTGCACAGGTCTGTCATCGTCGTCATTGTCATCGTCATTGTCGTCGTCGTCGTCATTACTGGAGTCCAAGTCTCAAGATACTACTGTCATTGGTGAGTGTAGAACACCATGATACGTATCGTATGAGAGAGAGAGAGTGAATGTATAATATTAAGGTTTTATAATTAAATAGATTTAAGTAAAATCTATATATATATAAAATCGCGAATCTGTCTGTCTGTCTGCGTGTGTGTGTCGTCGGACCATACGCAGTTTCATTGGACGGCGGTTGCCCCTGGCAACGGGTAGCGACGCCATCGCCGCTTTCATTGGACAGCGGTTGCCCCTGGCAACGGGTAGCGACGCCTTCGTCGCGGGCTGCAGTTTCATTGGACGGCGGTTGCCCCTGGCAACGGGTAGCCACGCCTTTGCCGCTTTCATTGGACGGCGGTTGCCCCTGCCAACGGGTAGCGACGCCTTCGGCGCGGGGTGGACGCCATTTTTAATTCCCCTTTAAAATAGGCGCACGCATTAACACGCGACTCTGACGTAAATTCATCAAAGTTTCACGTCCTCTTCACTCCCCCCCCCACCACAATGTGTGCAATTACTATTATAGGGTCGGTACATTATAAAATTATAGCGATTACACAGCATTATTGTATCGCGGGGGATCGGCGCGCTTCACTAAAACCCTACAACGGATCGGCGCGCCTCACTAAAACCCTACAACGGATCGGCGCGCCTCACTAAAACCCTACAACGGATCGGCGCGCCTCACTAAAACCCTACAACAGATCGGCACGCCTCACACAAACCCTACAACGGATCGGCACGCCTCACTAAAACCCTACAGCGGATCGGCGCGCCTCACACAAATCCTACAACGGAAGCGTAACGCATTGTAGTGTCGTGGTTAGCGCGCCACGCTACGAACCCGGCGACCCGAGTTCCATTCCCACTCACGGCCACCACCGGTGACGATTATTTGAACCGGACCTGGGCCTCCCCTAGGTCGACTCAGCCTCAAACGAGTAACTGGTGTGGTGTGTGAACATCGTCACTGGGGAGACAAAGGCGGCCGGGCGTGGTGAATCCAAGTTCCCGGGCGAAGCCGGGTAGTACAGCTAGTTGTATATAAAGCAATTGAGAGGAACAAGCTGTTGTACGTATGCCTCGGCGTGGCATCACACAAGGCGGGATGCTGCTGAGTGCTTCTAGATGCTACCTACACGCCTCAGTGTTAGTTGAGCTTGCGTATGCATCTCACGTGTTATTGCGGGCTGTGCTTTACCCTATATTATATTGTATTTATTACAACGCAATTTTTCCACAACCCAGTGTTCTTCACGAACGCAACTACCGTGTTATAGGAGAACGATTTCCTCCACAGGTGTGCCAACAGCACCGTACCACAAGCATTCTTTATTCATTCACATGCCTCACTTGCCTGCACTGTCTGCTTGTCACAAAACCTTTGCAATGTTTCACTGCACGTGGCATAACAATCCAGGAGTGACTGTGAAAGCCTCGGTTTTGGCTCTAGTAGATGCCAAGTTGGCACATTTCTATGCGGTTGGACTGCTGCTTAGCGACAAAGCAGCAATCGAGCATTCTAACATGAAAATAATTACGAAATAGTCGTGTGCTGTCAAGTCAATGCCTTATTCCCTGTTGAGCCCGGCGAGATGTATTTTACAGTAGTACTAATTCTGCGAGATGTCTGGGCAACTGTCTGTGAAAAGGAAGTAAATTCAGTGGACCTTAACATGGTTTTTGGTGCTTTTGTTTAATCCTGAGCCAGGGGAGAGAACTATGGCAGAGACCAGTCTCTGTAGAATGGCCACTGTTTATTTCACTCAAAAATGGTACAAATTTTATTGACCCCCTTAGGGATGATGACTGCGATTGGTCAACGTCTAACTCAAATCAAATTAAAATAATACTCGGTTAACTCCAAGTTGGGTATTGGATTGTCGAGGATAACAGCACAGGATATGAATCTCGCTGGGCGGCGCAGTGTTTATAGAGCACTCAACTCACAATCAGAAGTTGCGAGTTCAAATTCACTTGGGAGTTGCAGTTTCACCGAGTTGGAGTTGGACTTGAGAAACATTTTCTGTTGCATTCATAATGACTGCCACTTTTAAGCCGATACAGATTGTCTTATCGGGAGACTGGCCCCTGCCAATGAAATGTTACAATAAGAATAAAGTGTTCATGAAAGTGGATGGACTGGTCCCCACCAGGGGAGTGTAGATGTTCTATCACAGGCTCATGACTCTCGACCAAGATGACTACCATTCAATGCTTGTCGACAGCTTTTTCCCTTTTGTTACAATTCCTGATAAAAATGTGTCAATGTCTCCACGGCCAATTCTTGTGACCGATTCTCGCCTTGACTTTGCGTGCGCAGCAGTGCCACGAGCCATGGACGTGATGAACCGATCGAGCGGCGGCGGGGACCCCAACGCCCTGCCCGAGGGCGTGTTGCCTACACCGGCATGCATGGTCTACGTGTCCGAGAAGCATCCACGCATCACCCTGGAGGCCATCAGCGTGCTCCGGCGACACCGCAAGTTCTGCGATGTCGTGCTGGTGGTTCGTGCTCGCACACGCACGTTGCCACGACCACCGTCACCAATACCATCATCACACACCGTCGCCACCACCAATAGCTTTGTCACAAGCGCCACAAATGTCAACGTCACAAGCACCAGCGGGTTGTCGCAATTCCCAATACCACCTTCACAAGATTATATTCTCTTCCCGAATCTCTATGACATCATCACCTACACAACGGCCACAATTTGAACCACCACCAGCTTTAGAAACACAATATAGCTCTCGTAGCGAGTTGATGGCTTCACCCTGCTCTGCAGTGAATACAATCTCGTCATTGCCCCGTGCTCTTGAATGGAGGAATTTATAGTTGCATGAAAGGAAGGATGTTGACATGATTCCATGGTATATTTGAGATTAGTAATATGGAAAAAATATGTAAGAATGTGTCTAATAAACACAGAGGATGGTGACCGACTGAAATTCGGCACAAACCGAATCAAGATTTTGCTCATGAGAGTTCCCAAAAGTTACAGCCTTGAGATGTATTAGTTTTATTCATAGGGGTTAGCTACAAGGTCCAAATAGCTTTAAGTCTCATGCTAAATACTTCAAAATATATGATCTCCGATCAATGAATGAAGTAATTGGCTTCTTGTGAAGCATTATGCTGTAGTCAATAAAAAGCGGACAAAGCCTGCGTCTCTATTAGCACTGTATATATTTATATATAAGATGGTAAACTTGCACCTTCCACCTTTTCATATTGTTTATAATCTTACAAAAGCAATGGCATCCTCGCCTCCCACAGACCCACCTCCCAGTAGAGGAGGCGCAGTGAGGGCATCGCACATTCACGCCCCACCAACCCGCGTCTGTCTTTGGCAGGTGGGCAGCCGCAAGATCTACGCGCACCGCGTGGTGCTGGCGGCGTGCTCCCCCTACTTCCACGCCATGTTCACGGGCGAGCTGGCCGAGTCACGGCAGGATGAGGTGTCCATCCGTGACGTCGACGAGACGGCCATGGAGCTGCTCGTTGACTTTGCCTACACGGCACAGGTGATGCCACCAGCCGTGCACGCAGTGTTGTTGCTCTAGCAGGCTGGGCCAGTAATGGACTCTCATCCACTTTAGGAGAGCGAAAGACGTGAACCTTCGTGTTGAGTGTTTAAGGCAGTTGTGTATGACCACATCAGCCAGGATGCGACTGATCTTATAGGATGTCAAAAGCAAAGCAGGGTTGTTGAGCCTGGATAGCGCTTGGATACACAGGGGATGGTGGAGGAGCTGCGGGGGTTAGGTGGAGGGGTAGAGTGTGAGGAGTATAATACAGGAATCCCACGCGATGCGTTACGGGGAAATGCTACTTTACTCAAAATGACTTAAAGTGAACTATCATTTTCTACAGACATAATGTTAAAACCAGGGTTTGCGTTCCTAGCCAAGATAAAACATAATAATTACTGTCATAAAGTGTACCAAAATGCGTATGATTGTAAGCTGACATTAATTTTAACTAATAATAAATGCCAATAATTAGAATTTACCAGAGATAGTTGAAAAGCTTTCTCATCGAGGCCTCTTGTGGCGAGCGGTGGTGTGATGCAGACGAAGGGGCAGGACCAGCTGCCTCTTCTTCTTCTGACGATGGAGCTGCTGCTGTTGCTGCTGCCACAGCTCTGCTCACCAGAGGAAGCTGTCTCTCTTCTTAGGCTCTTCCCCAGACCTTCTGGCCTGATGGCAGAACATTTAAAAAAGCATCTGTCAAAAGATATATGCACAGAATTGTCTTATTCTGCTGGTACAGCTTGTAGCTGTGAATGCTACTAGTTACTATCCTGTTAACTGCACAGCTACGTTTTCGGTTTGAATCATCCTCACTGAAGATGTCCATTGCTGCTTCCAAATGAATAAAGGGCCCTGATAAGTTTTTAACATTCGTGGTGGTGGTGGTATAATTTTATTGGCCTCTTCCTGGGCTTGTTGTTCAAGCTGTATCAGATCCTCATTTGACATTTGACAGATCCTCACCACGGGACTCAACTCCACCATGACCGACTCCTCCACATTGTCGAGTCCAGCTTCCGCCGCATGGTGGAGGGATGTTCTGTGCTGCGCGCTATGCGTGTATCGTGTGGTATAACACCGCATCATCGTTAGTTTGCACAAGTTAAAAAATGTAGCCATTTTTGATTCCGCATTTTGGGAAAGATTACACTCGTAAGGAATTATATTCACAAATTATTCGACAACGAATTTGCAAAACAATGCATAATGCAGCAACGTATAGCGGGGGATTCCTGTATTATATGGTACACGACACATAGTATACAGTAAGTGCATTGTATTTGGTGGTTTATTAGTTACACCCACTACACGCACGAGTATATGTAGTTTAATAAATATACAGTAAAAGGTGTTTTTTACGTTGGGTTTAATTGACTTAAAGCTTTTGTGACTGCAGGAACACATATTCTATGGGTCTTTCGGTAAAGCCACGTAGATAGAAAAATAATAAAAATATCACGACGTTTCGATCGCAACACAAGCAATCGTCTTCAGGAGAGAGAGAGAGCTCTACCAGAGCCGTATCAGAGCTCTCTCTCTCACCTGAAGAGAGAGAGGGCTCTACCAGAGCTGTATCAGAGCTCTCTCACCTGAAGAGAGAGAGGGCTCTATCAGAGCCGTATCAGAGCTCTCTCACCTGAAGAGAGAGAGGGCTCTACCAGAGCCGTATCAGAGCTCTCTCACCTGAAGAGAGAGAGGGCTCTACCAGAGCCGTATCAGAGCTCTCTCACCTGAAGAGAGAGAGAGCTCTATCAGAGCCGTATCAGAGCTCTCTCACCTGAAGAGAGAGAGGGCTCTACCAGAGCCGTATCAGAGCTCTCTCACCTGAAGAGAGAGAGGGCTCTACCAGAGCCGTATCAGAGCTCTCTCACCTGAAGAGAGAGAGAGAGCTCTATCAGAGCCGTATCAGAGCTCTCTCACCTGAAGACGATTGCTTTTGTTGCGATCGAAACGTCGTGATATTTGTATTATTTTTCTATCTACGTGGCTTCACCGAAAGACCCATAGAATATGGGTTTAATTGGTTTTGCAGATGTTCGGCAGTGCATAATACATTTTACATGACATACAGTAAGGTTATGTAATCTGCTGTCCATTTAAAATGTTATATATACTTGGCAATAATGAGTTCAGACACTGCATCTCTTGCAAGGGAGACCCTGGAAATGGAGATTTACAGTACATGACGAAATATTGTATTATGTTGAATTTCTTTCACACCATATGTAGCCAACCGTGCTAATCAAATGTGTATATTCATTACAGCAGCATGCCATCACAGCTGGAAATGACATTTGTTTGGGGTTTACTTTGACTTGGCTAAGCCGCACTGTGCTTAGAGAGCGTGACTCCCAATAACAAGTTTGTGAGTTCATATCCCTGTTGGAATTCTATTTGGATTACCTTGCCGCTGGGACTTATTCAATGAGTGCCACTTTGTGTAAAGTCGGCAGTTGTTTGGCTCACCCCTGAACCACAGGACAACAGAATTTCTACAACAAACTAAGGTCCGTTAAACGAGATGAGAATCTCACCATTCTTGCATTTGAGCAGAACACCGCTTGCTTCTCATGCAGTCTGCGCTGCTGCGATCCACAGATCACGGTGGAGGAGTGCAACGTGCAGGCCCTGCTGCCGGCCGCCTGCCTGCTGCAGCTCGCCGAGATCCAGGACACCTGCTGCGAGTTCCTGAAGCGGCAGCTCGACCCCTCCAACTGCCTGGGAATCCGGGCCTTCGCCGATACGCACGCGTGCCGAGACCTGCAGCGCACCGCCGTCAAGTTTACGCAGCACAACTTCCAGCAGGTGGCCCTCTGCAGACACACAAGCCAGAGCACGCAGCCAGAGCACACAGCCACAGCACACAGCCACAGCACACAGCCACAGCACACAGCCAGGCCACCAAGTCAATGCAGATTCACTCTCACAGCGCATGTTTGGGCCAATTGTACTTTCGGGTGTCGTGTCACGAGGCCAAGTGTTTGTTGGTTTCTCTCGCAGAGCAGTGCTGCAAGCTCCCATGTTCGAGGACAGCCCGCAGAGGCGGGATATCACACAGCTACTTTTGTGGCTTACGATCTGCACCATAAAAAACTGCATTTTTACAACTCACTACACACAGCAGAACTAAGTGTAACGTTCTAGATTTGAAGTTTTCGTGACTGCAAGGATCCATACTTTTTGGTTTTCTCGGTAAAGTCACGTAGGTATAAAATAAAATAAATTAAAATGAAAACAACTAAATTAAATCACGACGTTTCGGGCGCAACACAAGCGTCCGTCTTCATGTACCTGATTTAATTTAGTTGTTTTCATTTTAATTTATTTTATTTTTTACCTACGTGACTTTACCGGAAAAAAAAGTAGAAATATAACGTCGTTGGGTTTTTGTGTGTGTAGTCATTGGTGACTGGGCTGAGACCATCAAATCACTGCACATTAAAACCCATTTTAATCACAGGCCTTAATTCAAAAGCCAGCATCTAAACGGTGCCACCTCAGTGCTCTTATCATCTGAGCCACATTAAAGGAAAATGCAAGCCAAAAGAGAATTGTGTTTTTGTAAGCACCTAGCCTGTGTAGCCTGGGCAGTCCAACGCATCTTTGGTTATGATAGAGCTTTTAAAATTGACTTTCAGACGTGCTGCCAAAAAGCTCTAGTGATATCATTGCAGCACATTAATGTAACTGCATTGACGTGCTGCAATTATATCGCTAGTTCACAAGAGTACAAGACTTGAAGTAACTTTCAAGTATTTTGCTTGTGCGCAATTAAGTTTCAGACTCATCTCGGACAACCTGGAACACAGAGCCTTAGTGTGTGTCTACATCATGGGACCTCCTTTGCTATTACCAAAATATGATAATAGGTTTTTCCACTTTTTTTCTGGCAACAAAACAGGTGTTAAGATGTTAAAACACCAAACTGAAACCTTTTAAGAGGAATCATGTCTGCATTAACCACAATGCTTGTGGTCAGAATGCAAACCAAAAATATTCTGATAATATATGCATTGTCCTTGAAACTGATTGGTCCACACCAGAGACAGCTTTCTTTTGAGCCTCGTCTCAAACGGTGTTAGACCAGAGGACGCCTTTTTGACCAGAGGACAATGCATGTGTTATCAGAGTTAGTTTTTTGTTTGCATTCTGACCACAAGCATTGTGGTTAATGCAGACATGATTCCTTGTAAAAGGTTTCAGTTTGGTATTTTAACATCTTAACACCTGTTATTGGTTCTTTCGGTAAAGTCACGTACATGATGATTGCTTGTGTTGCAATCGAAACGTCGTGATAATTTTATTGTTTTATTTTTGATATTTTATTATTTCCCTTCTACGTGACTTTAACAAAAGAACCAATAATATGAATCCCTGCAGTCACGAAAGCTTTGAATCGAAATCTTAACACCTGTTTTGTTGCGAGAAAAAAGGGGAAAAACCTATTATCATAGAAGTGTGTCTATAAGAGGCTCTCTTTTATTTGGCTGTGCATTCCTTTAAAATATATTTCTGCCACTTTCATTGTGACGTGCAAAAGAGATTGCCGTTCACTTTCATTGTATTGGTAGCTAATTGTGTGGGTGTTAATTTTGTATGTTTGTAGTTATGCTTACGTGCGCAGTTGAGGGTACTTGTAATGCAATTATGTGTGTGTTGCGAGTGGCGTGTGTGTGGCTATCAAGGCACGATACTAATCTCCACAAAGGGTAATGAATCCACCAACAATTTAAGTTTTCTGTGCAATAAACAATTTCAACTCGCAATGTGCCGCACAGTATCCGCTCACTCTCGAAGACAGGAGAGAGCATGACTCGGAGGTGTGAGGAGGAACTAAAGACAAACAGGAAGGCAGCAGCCAGGTGGTGAGCTGGCGTGTACAATGTCTGTGTCCTCTATATATGAAGGTGCTTTTAGCCAATTAATGTTGCCGATATATGTGAGAGGAAACCGGAGCACCTGGAGAAAGCCCACACGTTCGAGGCGACAATACTATCCCATACAGAGGGAACGGATCGAGTCCACATTTTTGCTTTACCGCTTTATCCTGGCAGTAAAGCCACGGGAATGAAGTTGTTGTGACATTTGTGTGATCCGCCACCCCTCGACTCCACGGCGCTGGATTCAGGCGTGTACCACCACCACCCAGCCATCAAGAGGTGCTCCATATTAACACTGTGCTCAGTAATCCAGGCTGACATGAAGCGGGGAATCTGTTGCTTTCGCAGGTAATGGAGAGTGAAGAGTTCATGCTGCTTCCTGCCAACCAGCTCATCGACATCATATCCACCGATGAGCTAAACGTGCGCAGCGAGGAGCAGGTGTACAGCGCCGTCATCGCCTGGGTCAAATACAACATCCAGGAGCGCCGGCCACAGCTACCCCAGGTGCCTGCCTGTGTGCGCGCTTGCGTAACCGCTGATCAGCGGTTGTGTCCTTCCTAGGCCTCCGCTAGGTACGTGGACGCCCCTAATGTCAAGCCACTGCAGGTTGAGAGCCTCCCCATGCTGTGTATTTCGTGGAGGTTACACGACCAGATTTTGCCACGCTCGTCAGTACGGGTTAGTTCAGGTGGAGGCGAGATATTTGACCATCATTAGACCTCCTTGGCCAGTGCCAAGATATAATAATAGGGTTTTTCCATTTTTTTCTGGCAACAAAACTGAAACCTTTTTTACGAGGAATCATGTCTGCATTAACCACAATACTTGTGGTCAGAATGCAAACAAAACACACCTGATAATGTATGCATTGTCCTTGAAACTGATTGGTCCACACCAGAGACGGCTTTCTTTTGAGCCTCGCCTCAATTGGTGAGTGTTGCCAGAAAAAAGGGGAAAATCCTATTATTAGATGTGTTACCAGTTTAGCACAACAGTTGATCTTGCTGCACTGCCATCTGCTGGTATCATAGCACATTATCACCCGATAACAATCTGTTCTACGTAGCTTGGTCGTCCCTCAATCAATCAAATAATCACTTCTTCCTGAAACTAAATTTGATGCTTTTATTGTGAGCGTAAGAACCTGTTTTGAAATCAATTATTTAGTTCATCCCCACCTAGTAGAGCGGGGAGCTCATGCTTGACAACATAAAAGCACACACAGTAGACGTAGCTATATCGCTCCTCTTGCTGATGGTAATAGGATACAGTGGCTGCACGACGACAAAACTGCCCCCCCTCGCGTATGAATGCACAACTTCCACCACTGGCTTAGGGCCGCCCACATTGATGAGCACCAGCCAAATCTCGTGTGTGCTTTAATAGTGTCATTAACCAGGTGACATCTTCTGTAGCCCCCCCCCCGCCTTCCTGCCCGCTCCCAGCGCAGCATTGTGTCTCACCAGCCGTGTTCAACAGAAGTCCCCCCCCTACTCCAACAATCCCTGCCCCCTGCATCTCTACCTCCCTCTTTACCTTATATAATCACTGGTCACCAAAACAGCTGTCTTTGCCCACTCCAGTAATGTTTGTTTCTTACTGTGGTTGTCCCACCTGATGACGGAAGCTTGTGTTGCTTCCGAAACGTGATGTAATTTGGTTATTTCTATTTGTTATTTTTATTCTTACATTTTATTTTAATGTTTCACCTACCGTAACTTTACCGAACTACCAATGACCACCCCCCTACGTGGCAAACAGTTGTGTGACTATTCGTCTTGTTGAAAATGTATTACAGTCTAGATAGCAGTGGAATAGTATTCTGAAAACGCACTGACGCAATCGCATCATCTCAGCCCGAATTCCTTGCCACACACACGGGGCGCATGGTTCTTGATTATATCCCCTCTCCTTTAGGTTAACTCGACCTAAAATGAGTATCCAGTGTTTGTGTTATCACTACTTGGGTAGCAAAGGTGTATGTGTGATGCCAAACAAAAAAGCTCCGCACATGTGTCTAAGCAGCCGGTTTGTCTATAGGAAGGCCTGTGTCTTGTTTGTGTATGGGTGTATCAATCTGGACAAAGTCCCGTCTGTGGATCTCTCTCGCAGGCAATGATTCAATCCAATTAAACCATACAATGTATATCTGTATAGCATCTAAATGCAGCTACATCTCAAGATGCCGTACTTTTGTTATTGCCGTATAAGGTTAAGCGAGGGATCTTCTTCTCCGTGTGTGTGTGCGTTAGTGTAACAGTTATCACGCTAGGCCTCCCCTAGGTCGACTCGGCCTCAAACGAGTACCTGGTGCGGTTTGTAAACATCACCACTGCGGAGGCAAAGGTGCCGGGTGTCGTGTTGGCCACCCACCCCCTTGTGTGTCGTGCCGGTCTTCATAGGGGCTCGCGAAC